TTGCTGCCATATATGGGTCTGGAGCCCCTTCTGTTTGCCTCGGGGTTCTTGATAAGATCCAGAGGCAGATATACAATATAATTGGCCCTGTTCTGGCATCTCGTCTACAGTCACTCTGTCTTTTTTACAAATACTTTCATGGCAATTGCTCCGAGGAGCTGCATTCGCTGGTTCCCAGACTTCATGAATTCAAGCGCCCTATGAGGCTGGCATTCCGCTCTCACCCTTTCACTGTCAAAACTCCTAAATGTAGCCGTCTCTTCTACTCCAATAGCTTCATGTCTTGCACCTCTCGCCTGTGGAACTCCCTTCCCTATTCCAGTTTCCTTGAGAGCTATAATCTCCAACTATTCAAATGTAATGTCAATCGATATCTCCAGTTGTCTTGATCTATCCACTATCCTTCTCCTCATCCTTTCCTCTATCACTCCTCTGATCTTGCTCCAAATCTTCTGTAACTCCTTGCGTCCTAGTGGCTTCTCGCCTTGCTTGGGGTGAAACACTTAAAAAAATATGAGGTAACAGAGAGAGAGAGAGACACACGCTCACACACACACAGATAAAGGATTAAAATTGGGCATTATTTTGATTGGTTGAGGGGTTCGTGTGTGCTGGCCAATCAGAAGATGAGTAGAAACAAACTTCTTATTTAGTTTTTTTTTTTTTTTAGCAAACAGAATTCTGCAGAGACAAAACAAGAACAAGTCCCATTTCCCCAGTAGGGGGACTTAATCTCAGTGATCAACATGTAACATGAAATCAACACAATGTACAAATGCCTTAAGCTAGTAATGTAAGTATAACAATCCAAGAAACACTCCTTTAATGAAGGTCTCAACATTTTCAATAGAATAATACACACACAATACATATGAATGAGGATATCTTTATACACACATTGCTATTTACCTCTTTTATATTCTTCCTGTTTAATTTCTGAAATTTGAACACACATTGGACAAGCAAAAGAGGCATTACAAAAGCAAAGCAAATTGCTGAGAAATAGAAAAATTTCATTAGAAAAAAAAAAAAAAAAAAAATAGTACTGTATAATATCCATCCTCTTATATGGCAGTGAATGCTGATGAGGAGAAAACTGGAGGCAACAGAAATGTGGTTCTACAGAAGGATGCTGAGAATTGCAAGGATGGAGCAAGTAAGCAACAAGGTAATCTTGAGGAAAATGACAACAAAAAGAAGCAGGAAAGAGACAATTGCTTGTGTCAATGCAGTTCTTTTCTTAACAAAAGCAGAAAACTGCTAATAAGAATTAAAGAGCCATAATTGTCCATGATCTGAATGGACACGCACATAGAAAAAGAAGTAAGTAATTCAATATTATTCTTATATATACAGTATTGTAATTTATTCTATCTCACTTATCTAATAAATATCCATATCTCTAAAATAAAACTGGAGAAACTAGAAATCACCATGCATGAAGAAATGGAAAAGAAAAAAAACAAAATGACCCACCCCTTACATTATTAGGGAAAATGTTTCTTTGTATAAAGAAAACTTCATGGAGTTGCAAATACGCAATTAATAATTTGAAGATGAGTATATTAACAAGTTGTGTCAACAGGAATTTCTGTTTGCAGTAGACAACATGGAAAATTTTCAAATGTCATTTTATATTTTTTTTTTTTTACAAAGTAAGATTTTTATAAATAAAAAATAAATTTTCCAGCAAATAGAAATTAATAAATTTAAACAATAACTGTTCATGAGAAAATATTTTTGGTAAAAAAGATTTTAAAATTAGCAAATAAACACTTTCTATAAAATTTGATGCTAAAAGAATAGATTAATAAATAATTTTTAAACTAATAAAACAAAAATAACACAAATCTATGAAACTAAAAATAGATATTCTTTTAAAGAGTATATGAAACAAAATGCTTGTAAAACACTGTATAGATTTAAATCCCATGCTACTTACTGACATATTGGATTCTTAGCCTCTTTGACATCCATTAAACAAATTCTTTATTACATGACTCTACAACCAATTCATGAGCATGTGTCTTAGGTATGCTATCATCTGTCACTAAACTGACAAGGATATGAGCAGGGCCTTCATAGTTCATAATCTGAAGGAAAAAGAAAAAGAGATTTAAAAGTTCCATAATTGTTAACGTAGAACGTCTTCTGTAAAAAAAATTATGGAACTTTTTAAATTTTTTAATTAATGTTGTGGCCTTGTAAGGGACCAGAAATAAAGACACAAAAGAGAGGAATTGAGTTAAAACAAATATATTAACAGAAACAGTAATACAAACATATACAAACGAGAGTGTTACAGCAAGAATGTTCGGTCTGACTGTCAGAACTGACTGCTGGAAACTTCCTCTCCAAAAGGCAAGTACCTGCTCCTATTTATAGTTGGGAGAGTCCATGTATGGGTGGTAAATTAACATAACATTAAGGAATTTAAACAATGATACATACTTGTATATAAGTCGTTTTTTAAGATTCTGAATGTTGAAATTTAGACCTATATTTGCCAGATAATAGACATGTGGCTGAATAGTTAGAATATAAGATCTATATTTAAACCATACCATGGTCGATTAGTCAAAGAGGTGACTTCTAATAATATCATCCTAGTGAGATGATCCAGCATGTAGTACCATTGAAAAGTGCCTGAAAATCAAACCATGGGTTGACCCAAGTTTGGTAATGGTAAGAACAATATTAGTTGTTTCCTTATAAGGAAACTTTTGACATTAATTGACCAAGCAGCCAGTGATACTTTCAGTTGAAATTTATGAAATCTTTCGCTAAAATAGTTTTTTCAGGAAAATAGCTTCTCAAGTCAAATAACTTTTATCACCTTTTTTTCCAGTATTGATGGAAGCTTCTTTCTGAGCCTTTTGTTTGAAGTATCAGGAATGTCAACATCTTGATTAAGTCATTATTTTTCTCCAAGTTTTATGTGATATCTATTTCAGTTGTTGCTGCTATTAAAAATCCTCAAATATGGTTTCTGTTATTTGGTACACTTCTTTGTGATTCTGTAGTCCCAGTCGATGAGGTTCCAAGAAGGATAGTCCTTTCTAGGACATATAGGCATTTAATTTTGCTGGAAGCCATTTTTAATCATTGATTTGAGAAAGTTGTTTATACAGCTGAAAATTTAGATACTTCTGAATGATTTTGGCGCCATGCATGACATCCACATGAAACTCTCGATCTGGACCAATTTATTTAACAACATAACTCAAAAATTTATATTAATATTTTGGTTTTGTAGCAATTTTGTAGCATTGGGCAAAACTACCCCTAACACAGCCTATTCTATGTTTAGTTTCTTTATCTTCTCTACTAAATTTGTTATAATCTGATCCCTACACTGTTTGAACTGTTTAGAATATTTAATAATTCCATATCCTTTTTTTTTTTATGATGTTGGGATTAGTAACATCTTCCATTCCAATTTCAGTTCATATTTTCTGTTGTTTTGAAAGGTTTAAGTCCTATTTCTTGAAAGAAATATAGGATGTTGATTTTTTGTTCTAGATCATTCTTATCCCAACTATGAATAATATATATTCCTGTCTTTAGTAGTAAGTCTGTTAAGGGTCATAAGAGAGCCATGATCGTCCATGATCTGAATGAACCCAACACATAGAAAATAAGAAATATGGTTATATATACAGGTATACCTCACCCTACATCGTTAATTGGTTCCAGAGGTCATGACAAAGTTGAAATAACCACACTATAAACTGCAAATAAGCACTTATAAGCATATTATGGTATTCTGAATAAAAATAATTTATCAGCAATATAGCTTTTTATGCTTAGCATTAGCAATGAAAGAACAGTCTGGCAATTTTTCCAATATAATCCAGTTTCATCAAAAAAGAAACCCATTTTCTTCAATGATCTTAGTGAATACTTTAGGAAAATCAGCTTGCTTAAAGTGCCAGCTGATGACATTGCTATTTACCTCTTTTATATTCTTCCTGTTTAATTTCTGAAATTTGAACACACATTGGACAAGCAAAAGAGGCATTACAAAAGCAAAGCAAATTGCTGAGAAATAGAAAAATTTCATTAGAAACAAAAAAAAAAAAAAAAAAAATAGTACTGTATAATATCCATCCTCTTATATGGCAGTGAATGCTGATGAGGAGAAAACTGGAGGCAACAGAAATGTGGTTCTACAGAAGGATGCTGAGAATTGCAAGGATGGAGCAAGTAAGCAACAAGGTAATCTTGAGGAAAATGACAACAAAAAGAAGCAGGAAGAGACAATTGCTTGTGTCAATGCAGCTCTTTTCTTAACAAAAGCAGAAAAACTGCTAAGGGCCACAAAAGAGCCATAATTGTCCATGATCTGAATGGACACGGCACATAGAAAAAGAAGTAAGTAATTCAATATTATTCTTATATATACAGTATTGTAATTTTATTCCTATCTCACTTATCTCTAATAAATATCCATATCTCTAAAATAAACTGGAGAAACTAGAAATCACCATGCATGAAGAAATGGAAAAGAAAAAAAAACAAAATGACCCACCCCTACATTACTAGGGAAAATGTTTCTTTGTATAAAGAAAACTTCATGGAGTTGCAAATACGCAATTAATAATTTGGAAGATGAGTATATTAACAAGTTGTGTCAACAGGAATTTCTGTTTGCAGTAGACAACATGGAAAACATTTCAAATGTCATTTTATATTTTTTTTTTTTTTACAAAGTAAGATTTTTTATAAATAAAAAATAAATTTTCCAGCAAATAGAAATTAATAAATTTAAACAATAACTGTTCATGAGAAAATATTTTTGGTAAAAGATTTTAAAAATTAGCAAATAAACACTTTCTATAAAATTTGATGCTAAAAGAATAGATTAATAAATAATTTAGCAAACTAATAAAAACAAAAATAACACAAATCTATGAAAACTAAAAATAGATATTCTTTAAAGAGTATATGAAACAAATGCTTGTAAAACACTGTATAGATTTAAATCCCATGCTACTTACTGACATATTGGATTCTTAGCCTCTTTGACATCCATTAAACAAATTCCTTTATTACATGACTTGCCAACCAATTCATGAGCATGTGTCTTAGGTATGCTATCATCTGTCACTAAACTGACAAGGATACGAGCAGGGCCTTCATAGTTCATAATCTGAAGGAAAAAGAGAAAAAAGAGATTTAAAGTTCCATAATTGTTAACGTAGAACGTCTTCTCTGTTAAAAATTATGGAACTTTAAATCTTTTTAATTAAGTGTTGTGGCCTTGTAAGGGACCAGAAATAAAGACACAAAGAGAGGAATTGAGTTAAACAAATATATTAACAGAAACAGTAATACAAACATATACAAACGAGAGTGTTACAGCAAGAATGTTCGGTCTGACTGTCAGAACTGACTGCTGGAAACTTCCCTCTCCAAAAGGCAGTACCTGCTCCTATTTATAGTTGGGAGAGTCCATGTATGGGTGGGTAAATTAACATAACATTAAGGAATTTAAACAATGATACATACTTGTATATAAGTCGTCCTTTAAGATTCTGAATGTTGAAATTTAGACCTATATTTGCCAGATAATAGACATGTGGCTGAATAGTTAGAATATAAGATCTATATTTAAACCATACCATGGTCGATTAGTCAAAGAGGTGACTTCTTAATAATATCATCCTAGTGAGATGATCCAGCATGTAGTACCATTGAAAAGTGCCTGAAAATCAAACCATGGGTTGACCCAAGTTTGGTAATGGTAAGAACAATATTAGTTGTTTCCTTATAAGGAAACTTTTGACATTAATTGACCAAGCAGCCAGTGATACTTTCAGTTGAAATTTATGAAATCTTTCGCTTAAAATAGTTTTTTCAGGAAAATAGCTTTCTCAAGTCAAATAACTTTTATCACCTTTTTCCAGTATTGATGGAAGCTTCTTTCTGAGCCTTTTGTTTGAAGTACTGTGGAATGTCAACATCTTGATTAAGTCATTATTTTCTCTCCAAGTTTTATGTGATATCTATTTCAGTTGTTGCTGCTATTAAAAATCCTCAAATATGGTTTCTGTTATTTGGTACACTTCTTTGTGATTCTGTAGTCCCAGTCGATGAGGTTCCAAGAAGGATAGTCCTTTCTAGGACATATAGGCTTAATTTGCTGGAAGCCATTTTTAATCATTGATTTGAGAAAGTTGTTGTATACAGCTGAAAATTTAGATACTTCTGAATGATTTTGGCGCCATGCATGACATCCACATGAAACTCTCGATCTGACAAGGCTATTTAACAACATAACTCAAAATTTATATTAATATTTTGGTTTTGTAGCAATTTGTAGCATTGGGCAAAACTACCCCTAACACAGCCTATTCTATGTTTAGTTTCTTTATCTTCTCTACTAAATTTGTTATAACTGATCCCTACACTGTTTGAACTGTTTAGAATATTTAATAATTCCATATCCTTATTTTTTTTTATGATGTGTTCAGGATTAGTAACATCACTTCCATTCCAATTTCAGTTCATATTTTCTGTTGTTTTGGAAAGGTTTAAGTCCTATTTCTTGAAAGAAATATAGAGGATGTTGATTTTTTGTTCTAGATCATTCTTATCCCAACTATGAATAACCATATATTCCTGTCTTAGTAGTAAGTCTGCTAAGGGTCATAAGAGAGCCATGATCGTCCATGATCTGAATGAACCCAACACATAGAAAAATAAGAAATATGGTTATATATACAGGTATACCTCACCCTACATCGTTAATTGGTTCCAGAGGTCATGACTTAAGTTGAAATAACCACACTATAAACTGCAAATAAGCACTTATAAGCATATTATGGTATTCTGAATAAAATAATTTATCAGCAATATAGCTTTATGCTTAGCATTAGCAATGAAAGAACAGTCTGGCAATTTTTTCCAATATAATCCAGTTTCATCAAAAAGAAACCCATTTTCTTCAATGATCTTAGTGAATGCTTTAGGAAAATCAGCTGCTGCTTGTGCGTCAGCTGATGCACTTTCATCTTGCTTCTTAATAGATTGATAACTTCTTTATTCTTTAAATCTCATAAACCAGCCTTGACTTGCTTTAAACTCTACATCTTGCTCATGTGGACATTTTTTGTTTAGGTCCTCAAAGACAACACTTTCATTTGAATGATTTCTTGACTAATAGCAGCATGCTGATGATTCAACCTATCAATCCAAATAGAAAGAAGTCTTCAAAGATTTTTCAACTTTTCTTATTGATAACAGTATTCTTCATCTCTGAGCATCACCTCTGAGTGTTGACTTCAATGTTCACTTTTATATTTACATACGCTCTATCCTTGATATTGAGCATCTTAAAACTGAGTTTCTTCTTCACTTTTATATTTTATAAACTTAATTATTTTTTACCTAAATACAGCTAGAGTTTGTTTGGTTGGTTGGTTGGGTTTTATCCTTAGAGATATTCTGCAAAATAATTACAGGTATTACTATCTGGGACAAGGATTTCCATTTAGTAAATAGACAATTTGATATTAATTTTTGCAAAATGTTATTTGCTTTGCTAAAGGTAGCATATATTAATTACACAATATTATATTCTTTCGATAGAAGACCAATTCTTTTCAGGAAGTTTTATTATATGACTTGGATCATTTTTTGTAAATAGTTATTTTGTACTCTTAATGTTGTAGAACTTTCTTGAATGTGTGTAAGGTTTGTGCATTCTATCAGTATATGTTTTACTGTGTATTGGTTTCCACAGGGACATTTGGGAGAAGGCTTTCCTTCTAGTATGAAGGAGTGAGTCAGTCTAGTGTGTCCAATGTTGTAGTTGAGTAATGGGTGGTTTCTTCTCTTGTATTATTAAGATTCAGTTTCCTTTCTTTTAAAATGGGTTCTATTTGGTAGAGCTTATTGTGCGTATTTTTGTCCCATAGTTGTTGCCATTTTTTAATCATTATTTTCCTGATTTTGTGTTTTAGGTCCGTATATGGGATTTTGGAGTTCTGGTTGGGTGTCATGTTGTGCAGCTTTTGCTAAGGAATCGTCTTTCTCATTTCCCTGAATTCCAATATGACTTGGGATCCAACAAAGTATCACCTTTTTATGTCTTATGGAGTTGATTTTGTTTAAAAGTTTGACAATTAAAGGGTTATTTAGTTTTGTATTTTTTATAGATTATAGGTCAGAGACGGAGTCGGTATGGATGATGAATTTTTTTAAGTTGCTTGCACAAACAATCTTAAGTGCTAGTTTTATTGCATAGATTTCTGCAGTAAATATGGAGGCTTCTTTTAGGAGGCATTTTTCCATCATTTCCTTATTGAAAACTGCTCCACATCTGGTTCTATTGCTGTCTTTGGAGCCGTCTGTGTAAATGTGCAAGAAGTTTGGGTATTTTCCCTGAATATTGGAGAGTTTTTCTTGGTAGGTTAATGGGAGGGTTTTATTTTTCGAGAGTTTGTTTAAATCAAGAATAATCACAGCCTGCTTAAGTAGCCAGGGTGGTAAGCTTAATTGAACGGCATCATGGATGTTTGTGATTGGAATATCCATGTCTTCCACTATGGGTTTCATATGGAGACCAAAAGGTTTTATGGCCTTTACTTTTTTGATCAAATAGTTTTTTTTGGTGTTTGGGGTTGAAAATGCAGTTATAGGCTGGATTGGTTGGTTGCGATTTAATTTTACTGTAGTACTGCAGACCAAATTTTTGGAATCTAAGTTTTAGTGGTGGTTCGTAGGATTCAGAATAAAGGCTCTCCATTGGGGATGTGTGAAATGCCCCTAAAACAAGTCTTAATCCTTCATGGTGTACTGTATTTAGTGTTTTCAGGTAGGATTTTCTGGTTGCCCCATATATGTAGCAGCCATAATCAAGTTTTGATTGGATTAATGTTCTATATAGTTTTAATAGGGTTTGCTGATCTGCACCCCAATCTTTGTGGGCTATTACACAAAGTAGTTTTAGGGTTTTGTTACATTTCTCTTTCAGATATTGTATATGCGGAATAAAAGTTAGTTTTTTGTCAAAAATAACTCCCAGGAATTTATACTGGTCAACTACCGGAATTTCTGTTTTGTCTAGCTTCAGTGTTGGGTTGTTATGCATTTTCCTTAACTGACAAAAATACATGCAATGTGTTTTTGTTTTAGAGATCTTGAAGCCGTTTATGATAGCCCGTTTATTTTGTTGACGCTCTGCTGTCCGCATGTATTTGGATGTGGAGGTGATACAGAAGTCATCTACATACAAATAGTTATCAACTCCAGGATTCAGGCAATTGGTAATGCTATTAATTTTGATGTTGAAGAGGGTTAGCGACAGTATACTTCCCTGAGGGACACCCTCTTCTTGGTTTTGAATGTCCGACAGGGTAGAACCAATTCGGACTTGGAATTTCCTGTCTGAAAGAAAAGATTTTATGAAGTTTGGTAGTCTGCTTTTCAATCCCATGTCATGTATGTCTTTCATGATCCCATACCTCCAAGTGGTCTCGTATGCCTTTTCCAGATCCAAAAAAATGGCAAGAAGGTGTTTCTTTTATATGTTTGCCTCCCTTATGGAGGTTTCCAACCTGGCGACATGATCCATTGTAGATCTTTGGTTTCTGAAGCCGCATTGGGAGTTGGTGAAGTGATTATTCGATTCATTGTACCAAATTAACCTTTTATTCACCATACGTTCCATAGTTTTGCACAGGCAGCTGGTCAGTGCTATTGGATGATAATTTGTTGGATAGAGATTGCTTTCCCCTGGCTTATGTAAGGGGATGATGGTGGCTAGTTTCCATGATTCTGGGATATTACTATTTTCCCAGATGTAATTAAATGTATTTAATAGGTAGTCTAACGATTTTGGAGGTAGTTGCTTAATGAATTTCATCTGGGTCAACTGCAGCATTGTGAGATTTTTGTATGGCTTCTTTTAATTCTCATAATGTGAAGAATCCATTATAGTTTTCAGTGTTGTCTGAATTGAAATTTAGCTTCTGTTTTTCTATTTTGCCTTTGTAGTTGTAAAATTCCGTGTTAATGTTGTCAGAGGAGGAATTTACTGAGAAGGTCTCAGCCAGTGTATCAGCAATATCTTTAATATTTGTGACCTCATCATTATTTTTAATAAGGTGTTTGATCATACTAGGTTGGTTTTTTCCATCAATTTCC